GGAGAAGTCCTGGAGCTTCTGGCGGATCTGGGCCCAGAATGCAGCATCCAAACCCCTGCGAGGGGGTGGTAGGGTGTGAGGTGTTGACCAGGGACCCTGCTTAGGTTGGGTTCTCTGAGTCTCGAAGTGGTGCTGCCTGGGAGTGAGTTTGGGAAGAGTTGGCCTGCTAGCTCGTCAGGGAAGGCTAAACTGCAAGGCCAGCTTGGACAGTGACCCGGTGTCTGCAGGGGTACCTGTTTCCCCAAACCCTGGGAGGTGGTTCTATAGGGTCTCTGCTTATTAACATTTGGAAGCATAGGCCAGGCTGGCCAGAGCCACCGGGCAGCCTGCTCCCAGCGTTCCCTGGGCAGCCCAGCCACTCCCTCCTGCTTCCTCCTGCCTCCATCTTTGGGTCTCAGCTGAGGTGCCCCTTCCTCGGTGGGCTCTCCCTGATGCCCACCCAGGGTCGGCGTCCCCTTCCCTATGCCAGAGGAGGTCGGCTTCTCTCCCCGACGCCTGCACCAAGTCGGCTTCCCTCCCCGGCACCCCCCAGGGCACTCACTGTGGCTCCAAAGCCCCCAGGGAGGCTTCACCGGGCCCCTTCTGTGGAAACAAGAGCAGCGTCCCAGGCCCCCATGCTGTAAAGGTGGGGGGCCCATCCCCAGGCTGTGCAGGAGGGGTCCCCGGTTAGATGAACAAGGGAGGTCTCTCAGAGGCCCCAGGATTGGGCTTGGAGATTGAGTGAGGCCTGGGTAGTTCTGGGGCTCTGCACTCCAAGGCTGATGTGGGGCCAGCAGGGAGGGTCACCTGGGCCTGGAGCGTCCGGAGCTGCATCTCCAGCCTTGCCTTGTCCTCCCACAAAGGGCCAAGCTCCGCAGCCAGGTGCACCGGCATCGGCTCGAGGTCCCAGGTGTCTGCATCAAGGACAGCCTTGGGGGGCCCAGGGGCCATTCTGGGGTCCGCCAATGCCTGGGATGGAGCCTGCTGCACACTAAGCCACACCCAGGGTCACAGGGGGCCACCCCATCTAGGAGGATGTCCCCTCACCTGTCGGGGCGGGGCCCACCTGTGGATGGCCAGCAGCTCCTCATGCCGATGGCTCAGGTTGGCCAGGCGCTTGCGGTAGGTGCGTGCGGCTCGGGCCAGCTGCTGCTCTCGGCTTCGGTGCGCGGCTCGGATGTCTTCCAGGATGGCCTCCAGGGATGTCTGCAGGGGTGCGGCGGCTGGCGCCTGGCCTGCATCTGCGTAGTCCTGAGGGAGATGGGGCTGGGCTGGTGTTGGGGGCCATGGAGTCCCCAGAACAGTGTGCCCAGGCTAGGCAAGGCTCCCCGGGACCAAGACCACCTCACCAGCACTCACCACCATGTCCCGGGCATAGCGCTGCAGCCGAACCGAGTACTCCTCGTTCAGCTTCTTGAGCTGCGTCTGCAGCCGGCTGTTCTCGGCTTCGGCCTGGCGGAGCTGGCCCTGGCAGGCAGACAGTACCTGGTGGCAGAGGCGGCTCTGAACGCAGGTCCAGCAGGGTGGGTGGTGCTCGTGGGACCCCCATTGGCCAGGATCTTAAGGGGGGTGGGGCTGGGCTCACCTGGGCCTGTGTGGCCACTTGCTGCCCAGCTGCCCTGGCCTCCTCACGGGCTCCCTGCAGCTGCTGGCCCAGGGCTGCCCTGCGGACATGGGGCGAGGTCAGCGGGCTCTGGTAGGAGGGCCCCCTCAGCCCCTTGGAAACAAGCCGCTCGCCTGAGGTAGTCACTCACACACGTGTCTCCAGCACCCGCTGCCAGGCTCCCTGCAGCTCCAGTGCCCTCTGCGCTTCTCCCAGCTGCTGTAGGCACACAGGTGTGGTGGGACTGGAACCTAGGCTCCCCACCTACCATACTCTTGCCCCCCAGGGCCGTGAGACAACTAGGCAGCCCCCGGGGCAAGTGGCCACACACTCACAGGGTCCTCTGGCTTATGCGGCCTGGACTCCAGGAGTATGAAGTCCTTGGGCTGTGTCTGTATGGAAAGGAGGTGCGAGGGGTGAGTGAGCAGGTCCTGGCCTCACTGTGTCCCCACCGCACCCTGCTAGGCTCCCAGCTGGTGCCCCTAGTCCACCCACCCCCGCCCTGCCTGCCCTCTTGGCAACCTGGAGTCTGTGGTCGTTGGAGTGGCCCTGTGCCAGCGCCTGGCGCTGCCCGCGGCTGGACTGCTCCCCATGCATCTCCAGCTCCAGCACCCGGCTCTCCAGCCGCAAAACCTGCAGGGTGACCAGGTGCATTTAGGCCATTGGAGCTAGCAAATGTCCCCCTGGGCATGAGTGTGGGTGCAGTAGCACATGCCCACCCTGGGGCAACCACCCACGCACCCGGACCCTCCACTGTGCTCCTCCCCAGGTGCCCCTCCCCTGCCCTCGGACTGGCACATCTGGGCAGGTGCCTACCTCACTCTTTAGCTCAAAGATCTCAGCCTCGTGCTGCTCCCGAAGGCGGTGGGTGGTGAGTTGCAGTTCGACCAGCTCCTTGGAGATCTGGGGGTGGTTGGTGGGGTGAGAGGGGTTGCCCATGGGACCCTGCAGTTATCCTGCCTCCTCCCGGCACCCAGGGTGCCACTCCCACCTGCAGCCTCTGCTCCTCACTCAGCTCCAGGTCTAACAGTTGCTCCGGCTCTAGGCTGGTGGCCCAGGCTGGGGCGTCACCTGGGGCCCCTGGCTGCCAGTCCTCAGCCCGTGGCAGAACCTGGAGAAGCACCGCCACCCACCCTCCAGGTGGGTCCAGGCCAGGCTGAAGCCCCTACCCCCATGGAGTCCCTAGCCATCCAACCACCCCCACTACACAGCCTGGCCGAGCTGGGGCAGCCGCTACAGGGCAGGATCAGTCCAGGAATGCGGGCCTGGGCCTCTCCTGGCCCCAGGGCAGGAGCAGTGGCACTCTGCTTACTCACGTTCTCAGTGGCCTCAGGTGGGGGCCCTGGCCTAGCGCCTGCGGCCGCCCCTCGCTCCATGGGCTAGAGAAACTTGGGTGAGCCTGGCCGCCCTGGTGGCTGTTGCTAAGATGCTGTGGCTGGCGTTATCAGGCCGGTGTGGGTCCTAGGAGACTCAGGGCCCCGCCCACAATTGGAAGGCCGTGGCTGGGGGAGGATTGTCCGTCCCTTTCCCCATGTGTGCAACGCAGACCCCCACCCCTTGTGACTATTGGGGTGCACGGGGGTGTGCTCGGCCTGGGGGAGGGTGCGACGGCCAGGCGGAATTCCCTGCCTGCCCTGTCGTGTTGGTTTGCACACACATTAGGCGCCTTCTGTGTGCCTCCCGGTGCCGGCTGAGTGCTGGGATGGCCGGGGGAACACACTGCACAGATAACTCCGCTAAGGTGGAGAAAAGGGGAATGATGTTCCATTCGGGACCGGGAGCGGGGATAAGGGACAACTGGCTTAATCTGGGCGCCAGGAGGGCTTATCGGAGGAGGTGTCCAGCCCTGGTCCGGCGCCTGCGGAGCGCGCAGAGCAGACACACGTCCCCTCCCTTTTGCGCCCGCAACCCTTCCTCCGGCTCCGCCGCGCGCAAGTTCGGGGCAGGCGGGCGGAGCGCCGAGCTCCGTCCAGCCCGGTGCTCGGCGGCCCGCGGCCTCGTCTCCACCTGTCCTTCAGGCGGTCCGCGCAGCCCGGGCCGGCGCAGCCAGCGTGGGTGAGTGGGCGGCCGGGTAGGGCGCCGTCTGGGTCCGGGCAGCGCCGCCGCGAGGCGTGCGGGGCCCGGAGGAGGGGCGGGGCCCGGGTGGGAGAAGGCGGGGCCTGGGAGAACTCGCCGAGGAGCGCGCCATCGCGGCTCACTAGGAAAGGTGGGGCCTGCAGTGCAGGGGCGGGGGCTGAGGGCGGGCGGCGCCAGCGGTGCAGGGGCGGGGGCTGAGGGCGGGCGGTGCCAGCGGTGCAGGGGCGGGGGCTGAGGGCGGGCGGCGCCAGCGGTGCAGGGGCGGGGGCTGAGGGCGGGCGGCGCCTGCGGTGCAGGGGCGGGGGCTGAGGGCGGGCGGCGCCTGCGGTGCAGGGGCGGGGGCTGAGGGCGGGCGGCGCCAGCGGTGCAGGGGCGGGGGCTGAGGGCGGGCGGCGCCAGCGGTGCAGGGGCGGGGTCTGAGGGCGGGCGGCGCCTGTGGTGACGACCGGCCGACTCCCAACACCTGCCGGTCTGCTCGCGCTCGCCGGGAGCGTGGAGTTCCACGTCGGTCCTTCGGGAAGCTCTTCTGGCCCCAATGTGTGTGTGTGTGGCTGACTCGCCCTCAGACAGCCCCACTTAGGGTCTGGAGAGGGGAGGTCTCACCCTGAAGAAGGGGCTCAGAAGGCTGGCGGCCTCTTTTGAGGTCACAGGCAGGTGACCCCAGGTGGCCTCCGGGCGCTCTGAGCTGCCGTGCCCCCGGTCTGTCACCGGGTGCTCTGCCTCCTGGCTTTTACGCAGTTATCCTCGTCGGGACGTGTCCCCACCCCACGCCCTGGTCTCCAAGTTGTAACTCCCCAGGACACAATCCCTGCGACCACAGAGGTTAAAGTCACCCCTGTGCTGGAGGACTGTATGTACCTGGTCATCGAGCAGCACACGTGGGAGGTCACAGCTGTGCCCAGGAGGGTGAGGGCAGGTCATGGCGGGGGGTCGGCGAGCACGCTGAGGTCAAGGCTGCCTAGGGCCAGCCCAGCAGGCAGACCCCCTTGTCTTACCCCCGTCAGAGGGGTTCCCCCAGCCTCGCTGGCTGGAGCAGACCCTCCCTGACGCTCTGTTCCCTGTTCATTGTCATTTGGGGTTCCTCGATCATCTTGGGTCTCCCCTCAGGTGGGGCCACCTCTGGCCTCCTCTTGGCCTTTCCCAATGCCTAACTGATCCTGCACACACTGGGTGCTCAGTGATTGTTTGCTGGCTCCCTCACCCACCCAGGTACTGCCCTGGGGCCAGGCCTGCCTCGGGTGCTGTGTATGTCAGACCGGGCAACCCAATATGGCGGGCAGCCCCAAGCTGGCGGTCTGTGGCTCCCTAACACCTGTTCCTTTCAGCTGCTGGAGACTGTGGGCCAGGAGATGCAGGGAGGTGCCTGGCCGGGGCACCTGAGCAGCCAGAGCCACTGCAGCTAGAAGTGCGGGCTCTCCTGGTGCTTCAGTGGGTTCCTGGGCACCCCAACCACCCCAGAAGTGAGCCCAGGGCTGCACCGTGTCCCTCCTCCCTGCATGGACTTGGGCCGACTGGGCCACGCGGGGACACTGGAGCCCCCACCGGCCCTGCCTGCCCCCAGAGGCCAGCAGAGACTGAGTGGACTCTGCCAGCCGGGCGGACTCAGTGTCTGCTGTGGGGTGCATGTGGGACCCGGGGACACGGTGACCTGCAGGTCCCTGAACCAGCTGTGCTGGGCACTGGGCTTCTGGACACCCAGTGAAGCTCTGACAAGGCCTCATCTTCACTTTAGCAGATGCTCTCAGGACAGGCCATGTCTCAGAAACACTTTAGGATGTGCACTTCCCTTTATTGGGAGTGAGCCTCATGGCGAGACTGGCCCACTGTGGGCAGAGCCAGCCTGGCACCCCCAGCCCGTCTGTGAACGGAAGGCTCATCTTTGGACCGCAGAGAAGCCACTGCCGCACCGCCGGGCTCCCTGCACCCTGCTGCACACGTGGGCCCGAGCCCCAGGCCTGCTGCGGCCTCACTGTTCGGCCCACTTCCAGATTCCAAGCCGGCGGGAACACGCCCCCCACCCCCAGCGCTGGGTGTGCCTCACGGTGGGTGCCTCTTGCCTGCTCAGCGGGTTCCCCGTGCCGGGCACAAACCCCAGGACCACGGCTTCAGAGTGACTCTAGAAATCGCAAGCTCCCCTCACACCAGGGAACAAGGAGGGAGCCTGGTGACAGAGCCCAAGTCATCACCCACAGAAGTTTCCGGAGCCTTGCTGTGGGCACGGGGTCAGCCCTCGCCTCCTGAGCCCTAGTGGGCCCCCCAGGGCACGGTGCCTTAGTGTGGGCCTGAGGTGTGCAGCTTGCCGGCGGCAGGTCCCAACCACGGCCGTCTCCATGTGTCCCAGCTCGTCCCGCTGTGTCTTGGGGCACAGGCCCCGGGGCCCCAGGCTCGTGCTCGTGTGCGCCGCCTGCCAGGCCGGGTCACTGAGGCCCCTACCACTTGATGCTGAAGCCGGAGCCGGCCCCCTCCACGGCGTGGTACCGTGTGTGCAGCAGGCGGCTGGCCTTGTCCGAGCCCTCACCCTGTAGCCAGTGTCCGTACAGCTCGAGGACCCCTGGCGCGTCCTCGGGCAGCTGCGTCCTGACCTCCCTGTAGAGCTGCCCCACCTGCTGCAGCAGCTCCTTGCCGCGCCCATCCGGAGCCCCGAGCTGCCCCCCGCCGTTCAAGCAGCCTGCGGGGGGGCGGGGGTGGGCGTGGTGGTGGGGTGGCGCACAGGGACGGAGCCCACGGCCCCCTCCCCATACCGGCTCTCCTGCCCACCCGCCTGCCCACCCCATTACCTGAGGGGCAGGCCATGACCTCCACGTAGTGGTACGGGCAGCGCCCGCGCTTCAGCTTCTGTACCAGGTTCTGGATGTTGCGGAAGCCGTAGGCGGTGGCGAAGTGCAGGAGGACCTGGCCATCCCGCTCCAGGGTCACCTCCTGGAAGTCCTTGTTCCTGCGGGCACAGAGCTGGTCGGCCGGCGACGCTCCCGCAGGAGGCCTGGGGGCGCAGGAAGGCGCCCTGTAGCCGGACGTCTGCCATCCTCGCTCTTCCCCGAACGGGGTGGGGATGGGGGCGCCACACACGAGCCCACCCCAGCCCTGGCCTCCTCGTGTGAAAGGGGCATTCTCCCCAAGGACAGCGATAAGGCGCTTCAGCCCCTCTGTGGAGACGCACCCCGTGCTGCACACAGCCCCCAGAATGCGGAGACTGAGCAGCAGGGCTGGGGCGGGGGTGGCTTGTGCCGAGTGCCCAGGGTCCTGCTCAGGCCCAGGACCTGCCTGCGCAAGCCCAGCTGAGTGAAGGACCAGGGGCCGTGGATGCCGCTCCCTGAGCCCAGGGGCTGGCTGCCCTACTGACCTCAGGGGCTTGTAGGTGACCTCAGCCATGTCGATTCCAAAGAGTTCCCGGGCTGCGTGCCTGAACACGTGCTCCAGGTAGCCCCCTGAGCCCCCGCCCCGATGACTGGTGGGCTCCTCAGCGGACACACAGCTGGACCTAATAAAGGGGCTGGTCAGTACGGCAAGGGGGGCTGTAGGCCCAGGTGGAGGGGCTGCCAGACAGCCTCCAGAACAGGCCTGCTGCTGCGGGCCCTCCAGCCCACTTGTACTTGGCCAGGGCAAAGCTGGGGGGGGGGGGCTTCCACTCCCAGGTCTGAGAAAGGAGGCTGCAGAAGAGCAGCCCCGAGGCTGGACGACAGAGAGAGCTGGAAAGGGTCTCAGAGCAGCGTAGGGGAGCTGGACTGGAGAATATGGGCTCCTCTTGGGACTCAAGCCTCTTGTCGGGAAGAGGACTGTCTACGCTCCCCAGGGAGCTGCCTGCTGCCGGGCCCCGTGCTGGGGAGGCCGGGTCAGCCCCGCCCCTGGAGGGATGTTGAGAGAGCCACAGGTCCCCAGCGCCCGTTGCCACACTCCACATCCCAGACAAACTCCAGGCAGGGTGGGGGCTGCCAGGCCAGCCGTCTCTGCCCACGCGTCAGGGCGGGCTCAAGAGCAAGCTGGCAGCATGGACGCCATGTGCTTTTTCAGCCATCTGTGGGCTGTTTGCCGGCCCGGGACTTCACACACGGTTCCTCACACCGAGAGTGTGGTTCGTGCCTGGTGGGACCCCAGTCACAGACACAGAGGCCCAGTCGTGTGGGGCCTCGGGGTACCGGACTGTCCCTTTGCCCTGTCCACACGTGCTTGGGGTGCAGAGCTGGGCTGGGCTGGCCTCAGCCCCAGTGACCTCAGGAACATCCACGCTGTGGACACTGTGACAGGCGTGGGGGCATGGAGCCACCTAGACGCAGGTCGTGGGCGGAGGACCCCTCTCAGCCCCATGGGCAGTGCCTGCACCAACGCAGGGTGCACCGAGACTCACAGAGCATCCAGCGGGGCCGGCTCCAGGTCTGGAAGCGAAACCCCTTCCTCCTCCAGCAGCCTGAACACCTCCCCTAGGAGAAAGCAGACACTCCGCTGGGCTCTCGGCAGGGGTGGCCCCCGCCCCGCGGTCCAGGCGCCCTCCCACCCCCGCGGTCCAGGCGCCCTCCCACCCCCGCGGTCCAGGCGCAACCCTCCGCCCTGTGGTCCAGGCGCACTCACTACCTCCCCCATGGTCCAGGCGCACCCTCCACCCCCCCACCCCTGCCATCTGCCCTCAAAGGCCCCATGTGCCTCCCAGGCTGGTGGGCGGAGGACCTGGCTGGGGGCAAGAACTGCTGCTCGATATACAGCCCACCCCTTGTGCGTCTCCACAGGAGGGGCGGGGGACTTCCGGGTCTGTCTGGCCTCCCTGCAGCGGTTTATTTTTCTATCTTTCTGCTTTTGTGGGGCAGGTGGGGCTCTGTGAGGCTGCTCACACACAGGCACTCTATGCGCCCTCCTGGGAACCTGGTGTCAGCCTAACGGGTGAGCATTCAGACACTAACTGGAAGGCCGGCAGTCTGAACCCACCCCGCAGCTCCGTGGGAGAAAGACCTGATCTGCTCCCATAAAGATCACTGCCTAGAAAACCCTAAGGGAAAGTTCTACTCTGTTATGTGGGGTCGCTATGAGTCAGAACCGACTTGACAGCACCCAACAAGCGCTGACCAGCTGAGACACACTGCTGGCCTTCAGGGCCGCCACCGTCCCCTCTGCACCACGCTGAGAGCCACCAACAGGGTGCCATCCCTGCAGGGGCTCCCTCAGGGCCTGCGCCTGGACCCCAGGACCCGTGGGCGGCACAGCAGCACCTGTCGTGATGACACAGTCGACGTCACGTGTTTGGAACTCCTGGTTGAAGAAGTCCGGTCTGGATGCCTCGAGCTTCTTGTCATAGCAGGGCATCACCGTCACGTGGTAGAGCCGGTCGGGGGTCAGGTGCTGCACGGGGACACGGAGACGCGCACGGTCCTGGGGCCGACATACCCACACGAGGCTGACACGCCCGATGCCCCACCGGGGAGACATGCCCCACACGGGGGCCGACGTGCCCTGCACCAGGACAGTCCCGGCTGCTCCTCCGGAACATCTCCTGCCAAGCTTGCACTTATCAGCAGGCACTACAGGCCTGGGCTCGTCACTCCAGGTGCAGGCCAGTCACAGACGGGCCGACCTAAGCAGGACAAGCAGGGCCTTCGGTGTGGCTCGGACACCACGCCATACTGGCAGGAGCCAGGGGGCCAGGCAGGAAAAGGGCAGGGCAGACAGACCCGGGGAGACGTCCATTCACGTCTAGACGGAGGAGCGGGCGCGGCAGCTGTGACCAGCAGCCCCTGCTCGGCTGCCCTCCTCCTCCTCCCCCACCTGTGCTGGGTGCCCTTGTCAGCCACCCAGCCTGCAGGGTGGGTGTCACTGACACGCGGCCTCGGCCTCCTGCTCCCTGGTGCGGAGCGTGAACATGCCTGGAGCCGGCCCTCTGGTGGCGGGCAGAGGAAAGACAGCACTGGGCAGCAGAGGACCAAGTGTCAAGCCATGGGGGTGCCACTGAACCGTGCCACTTCTGCGTGTCTGCAGATCCCGTGTGGCCACTGGCCAGGGTGTGGCGCCTCTCCCACAGCCTCACAGCGACCGACACGGCCACCACCCCCCGCGGCGGCTGCACACCCAGCTCTGTCACCTGCTGCTGGGCGAAGAAGTCCTTGACCAGGGCGCCCATGACCTGCTGCGGGGACCGGGCGGTGCTGAGGTGCGGGAGGAGTAAGCTGCTGTGGGTCTTCTCGGCATAGCAGATCCAGCCTAGGCCAACGGGAGCAGAGGGGCGGTGAGGGCGTGGCGGGGGCGCGGTGAGTGCGCGGTTGAGGGTGCGGGAAGGGGCGTGGCGAGGGGCACAGCGAGGGGCACGGTGAGGGAGTGGTGAGGGGTGCGGCGAAGGCTCGGTGAGGGTGCGGTGAGGGGCGTGGCGAGGGCTCACTGAGGGCGCCGGCACCGACCGGCTCTCACTGCCAGGAAGTGACTGACAATCTGGGGGTGGGCTGTGTGTCAGGGGGTTGACCCCATGGAGGAACGCTCCATTCTCTCATCACCCAGAGGTGTGCTTTTAGCAGCTCACAGGGGTACCACCCCTACCCAAAACCCACTGCTGCTGAGTCAATTCCAACTCATGGTGCCCCTGTAGGACAGAGCAGAACTGTCCTGTAGGGTTTCCAAGTCTATAAATCCTTAAAGAAGCAGACTGCTACATCTTCCTCCTGCGGAGCGGCTGGTGGGTTTGAACTGCCGACATTCTGGTTAGCAGCCGAGCACTTACCCACTGTGCCACCCCAAGGAAGCGAAAATAACTTTAAGGCGGACCTCCAGGAGGCCTCCTCCTCCTGAGGGGCCTTCTAGCGCTTCTGACCTGCTCCTACAGAACCTACGCCTCCTGCCCCTCCCAGCCGGTCTGGAGCTGTTGACACCACTTCAGACTCTAACTTCGCCTTCCACTCTCAGCTCCATGTAGGAGCGCAAAGATCAGAAGGCTGGTGGTGCAAGCAGCTAGCAATCGCCTGCTAAACTAAAGGGCAGCAGTTCAAACCCAGCCAGCGGTGCCAGGGAAGGAAGGCCCAGTGCTTCTGTGAAGGTCACAGCAAGGAAACCCTACGGAGCAGCTCTACGCTTTGACACACGGCTGCCACAAGGTGGGGCTGACTCGATGGCAGCCCACGACAGCAACAACCCCGAGTCACGTGGCCACGCGCACCTGGGCAGGTGGAGGCCAGCACGGGCAGGGCCTGTCTGGAGTCGGCCTGGCTCCGGAACCGCTGCACAAACTCGCGCTGGCTCTCGATGAGGCTGAAGTTGCGTGAGAAGGCGGTGTCAAACACGTAGTGCACCCCTGGAAGCAACAGCCAGCTCAGCCCAGAAGGACGGCCATGGTGGGGCCCCAACTGGAACCGTGTCACCAATGCCTCAGGCTGGGCATGGCCAAAAGCAGATGAGCCCGAGTGGGGTGGGCTTTGAGGAACTGGGGGGTAGCACTGCCGGCCTTGCCCCAGAACAGCAGGGTCCTGCCTCCCAGAAGGACCCTCGGCGTGTCTATGGCGCTCACACGGCACGCCACGCTGCCCGGGAGCCCGCGAGTGACAGTGGGCGTCCTTGTCTGAGGCTGGAGGTCTCTGGGGGGCTGGGCCATGCCCTGCACAGAGCCCAGACATCAGTCTACACAGGGTGTCCACTCAACGACCCACCCCCACACCGGGCCTGGAGACAAGAGTCCAGCCAATGTCGGGACATCACCCATACAGGTAACAGATGCTGGGGTGATTGTGAGTAAACAACTGAGGGGTGGTGAATCCAGACTTGGAGCCAAGAGTCGGCCCCCGTGGCCTCCCTCACACAGAGCTGTCACTCGGGTTAGAGCGTCCCACTGAAGTCACACCCAGAACAAAGTGCTCCCAGGGCACCAAATTCAGACATGAGTGAGGAGTCAGCATGGAGGCACAGGCCCCTGCCCCACGTGTGGCAGCGCCCACCCACCTATCTTTTTGAAGAATGAAGTTAACTTCCTGGCAGTGTCTGTAGGATTCAGCTGAAATCTCGCAGCTAACGAAGCCACAGACTGCGGGGAGACGGAGGCGACAACCAGCTTCCGGTGGTCGGGCTCCGCCGCCTGGAAGGCGAGGGGATGTGCTTAACCTTCCAGATGCTGACGCGTACCACCACCGTCAAGCCGGCCCCGGCTCCCAGTGACCTTAGGACAGAGGACTGCCCCATAGCGTGTCCTAGCCTGTAATCTTTTTAAAACTTTTTTATTGTACTTTAGACAGAAGGTTTACAAAGCAAATTAGTTTCTCATTAAATAATACACGTATTGTTTTGCGACACTGGTTGCCAACCCCACGACACGTCAACGCTCTCCCTTCTCAACCTCGGGTTCCCCGTGACGCTCTCCCTTCTCAACCTCGGGTTCCCCGTGACCAGCTCTCCTGTCCCCTCCTGCCTTCTCATCCTCGCCCCTGGGCTGGGGTGCCCATTTAGTCTCGTTTTGTTTTAGGGGCCTGTCTAATGTTTGGCTGAAGGGTGAACCTCAGGAGTGACTTCAGTACAGAGTTAAAACGGTGTTGGGAGGGGCCGTATTCTCGGTTTGTTTTCTTTTTTTTTTTTTGAAAACAGAAGTAGACTGCCACATCTTTCTCCCGAAGAACGCCTGGTGAGTTTGAACCGCTGACCTATCAGTTTTACGCAGGTGTGCATATATGTCGTTTTTTCATTGTGGTAAAATATACGTAACAAAATATTTGCCACTTTTATCACTTTTACCTGTATAATTCAGTGACCTTAATTACGTTCGCCGTGTAATGCGACCATCACCACACTCCACTTCCAAATTTTTCCTCTCTCTTATCAAAAACTCTGTACTGCTTCAGCAATACCCTCACTGTCTCCTCCGTGCAGCCCCTGGTAACCACTGATAAACTTTGGTTTCTACGCATTTGCCTGTTATAGATGCTTATGTAACTGGCCAGCAGTTAAGAGCTCGGCTGCTAACCAAAAGGTTGGTAGTTCAAATCCACCAGCTGCTCCTTGGAAACTCTATGGGGCAGTTCTACTCTGTCCTATAGGGTAGCTATGAGTTGGAATCGACTCGACAGCAATGGATTTTTGTTTTTTTTTTAAACAAAATCTGCCCTTTGGTGTCTGATTTCTGTCACTGATCGTCATACTTCTAAGGTTTATCCAGGTTGTTGCATGCAACAAGACTTCATTTCTAGTACTCCCTCGTGTGGATGGACCACAGATTTGGTCAGCCATCACCTGCTGACAGGCCGTGTGTACCTTTTATGTATCATTAATAACATTGATGCAGCGAGGCGGGATGCTGTCAACTCTGGAATGCTGATGAGGTGGCTGGACAGCTGGGTGCCTGGCTCTGGAGACCATGGGCCTTAGCTCAGTTGGGCAGTCAGTTCTACACAGACTTCAAACCACAAGTTTGGGGCCTGGCTCTTTCAGTGTCGGAGAACAACGGCAGGTAACTCACTAAGAAGGATGCCCACACACCCATCGCCTTGACAAGTGAATGACAGAATGTCGGTTGATGTCAGGTTGAGAGGGTATCACAGCCCACTCACCGCCTACCTTATTAGCGTTTAGAATCTTCCGAAGCTCTTCATGGCTCTGCTGGGTGATGAGCACGCTCTCTGCTGAGGTGATGCAGCCACTGCACGCCAGGCAGTCGTTCAGCGAGATCTTTGCCTTCTCCAGCTTCCGCATACCCCCGTCCTGCAGAGGACAGAGAGCCCAGGAAAGAAGGAGCCCAGCTTGAGATGAAGGTCTGAGCCAGAGAATCTACAACACTAGTGTTCTGAGAAAGAGGGAGGCAGGAACTGCCGTCCCCACAGAGAAAAGAGTCCCTTGCAAAGCAAATCACGCTCGTTGTTCAGCCTGGGCCCCCGCCCCAGTGGCTCTGGGCCCAATCCTTCACACACGGGGAGACTCCTGGCATCACCTCAGTGAAGAACAAAGCAGAGGAAATGTATCCGACCCTCCGAGTGGGACGTCTTACTTGGCTCACTTGGAAGTAACTGCCATCATCCTCAATGTGGATCTTGGCCACGCCGCTCCCTGGCTTCTTGTCCACCTTCATGGGCTTGATGCAGTCCTGAGCCGGAAGGAGACCCCGTGCCAGGCCTGAGCAGACGGAGGCCCCTGGGAAGAGAGGCTCCCGAAGGCCAGCTGCCCAAGGCCCTGGCGGAACCATGGACGCCAGGACAGTCATATGTGATATGGCTGCTCACCCCATCCTCACACAGGCCCCCTTGTCTAACATCCTGCAGGCACCAAAGGTCACTCTGCTGGTCCCCAGTCAGCACCACAGCTAGCGCCGACTGCGCTACCCACACCCTCCCCCCCCAACTCTCCCCAGGCATGAACAGGAGGTGTGTCCACAGACTGAGTGCCAAAGGGTGACGCTGGCCACTGAGAGGGAGCTTGGCAGGAGGGCTCTTCTCAGCAGTCTTTACAGGTCACCTCCCTGCCCAGGGCAGGAAAAACGTCACTCCCTTCCCTGTTCCCGCTGTCACTAGAGATCTGTGCTGGCCACCGCCCTCCTGAAGATGACCAGCCCCAGAAAGCCCAACAGGGGGCCTGTCCCGGCTCATCCCTGCCCACAGTGCTCGGGGACCCTCACAGCTGTTGGCGGGTGGCAGGCAGGCACAGAACAGGTGCCACACGAGCCTCCCGTTTTCAAACTGTGGGTCCTCTCTGGGGGCAGCGCCCACCGCCCACCCTGACTTCTACTGAGCTGCCGTGCGTGCTTCACCCGGACCACCCACTTGTCCCGGTGGATGAGGTGGGACTGAGGCGGGACCGTCACGGCCGGTGGCTCTGAGAGCAGGGGTCTGGGGCCTGGCAGGGATCTTCCCGCAGACGTGGGGAGTTCTGGGCCCAGTGCTGCCCACGCCGCTCTCCAGCTGCGTGACCTCGGTGGCAAACTCCCCGACACCCCACAGCGTCACTTCACCCAACCAGAGTGGGGGGACGGGCGCTTCCCTAACTGCTGGTCTTGAAAGCAGCATGATAACTGGAGGCTACCTGCGCCCACCAGGGCACAAGCAGGGTCCCTGGAGTCCTTGGGGCACGGACCCCGTTTCTCGGGGAAGGAAACTGAGGCGGGACGGCGGACGAGCCGCGGCCTCCCTGGCCCCTGGCCGACCAGCCCGCCGCGGCCCGCTCCCCGCGCACGGCCGCCCGCCGCTCGAGCCGGCCCACCTGCGACGGCCCGATGAAGTCATCCAGGTCCGTCAGCTGCAGCGCCCCGCTGAAGAGCGACGCCATGGCGCCCACACTGCCGCGCGCACAGCTGTCGCCAAACGGCGCAAAAGGCCAGCTGTTCCGCCACGCTGCCGGAAAGCGTCCCTGGCGGCGCATGCGTGCCTCGCTCTGCGGGTGGTGCCTGGAGGGGTGCGCGCCCTCTGCTGGTGGGCCCTAGCACGGCGGCTCTCGACCCAGTCCCTGGGACTCGCCCCTTAGACTTTCCTGCCTCCCCTGGGGCGGGACAGGCAGGAGCAGTGTAGACCAAACTGCCAGAACTCGGGTACCAGAGCGTGTCAGCCTTCAGAAAGAGACAGAGGGTATCCCCACTTAGTTCATTCACTGCTCTCGTGTTTACCTGTCAGCCAGGTGTGGGCCCCGAGGTGCCACACCTGGGGAGTTTGCACAGACAGCAAGCTTTGTTCTACTCACCGATGCAAAACCCAGAATAGAGCCTGACACACAGTGGGCGCTCAGCTGCCGCTGAAAGAAAAATTCAGGGGTGATGGACGCTGGAGCAAATGAAAAGTTCGGAGAGAATGTGGGGTGGTGGGGGCGGATTCCTTCCGTTCCTGGTGATTCATTGCAGGTCCCGGGGTCCTGTGAGGGCCCTGGCTGCAGCCCCTCGCAGGGTCCCCAGGCCCCTTTTGCATCATTTTGAGGAGCAGTCTGAGCAAATTCCATTTCCCTGTGATATTTTATGACCTGAAACAGAACAATTTTTGTGCCTATCACATCCAGTTATACACTGAATGACCATTTTTTCCTGGAAATTTCTAGAAAAATCCAGGGGTTGAGTCTGGGCCCAGCCCCAGCAGTCTCAGTCCCTGTAGGAGGAGCCAGGTGTCTTAGTTACTTAGTACTGCTATAACAGAAATATCACAAGTGGATGCCTTTAACACGACAGTTATTTTCTGACAGGAGGCTTACAAGTCTGAATTCAGGGACCAGCTCTAGGGGAAGGCTTTCTCTCTCTGTCTGCTCTGGAGGAAGGTCCTTGTGTCTTGAGCTTCTGTGCCTTGGTGATCTTCATGTGGCTTGGCATCTATCTTGCCCCATCTTTGTTTGTTTAATCTGCTCCTTTATATCTCAAAAGAAATTGATTTAAAACACACTCTGCACTTACATTGTCTCATTAACATAACAGAAAAACTCATTTCCAAATGGGACTATAACCACCTTAAACCAAAAACCAAACCTGTTGCTGTTGAGACATTCTGACCCATAGCGACCCTACAGGGCAGAGTAGAACTGCCTGTGGTGTGATGGATTGCTTTGGTGTGGCCTTTCTAGCCATGGTCTTGGAACTTCCACCCAAGGGATTGGGTGGGATTGGGCAAATTAGATAATTGTGGCCCACCAAGGGGATTGGTCAGTTTTGCCGTCCCGCTGAGCTTCAAATGAGCCACCCCAGAGGTGAGAAAGAGCAGATCCCACCACAACCAAGGAAGAACAGCCAGGAGCCAGCACATCCTTTGGATCCAGGATCCCTGCACTGAGAAGCTCCTGGAACCAGAAGACAGGGAGAGAGAAAGAGCTGTAACACCAAAGGCAGCGAGAAGCAGCAGCAGAGACCCAGCAGCAGGAGACAGTGTGGTGGGCTTCCCCACAGAGAGAGAAAGCTGAGTCCCTTTGGGCAGAGGCCCAGGGCCAGGGGGAGGCGTGCCTGCAAGCAGGGCGGGAAAGACGCTGTCTTCATGTAAGAACTGTATCTTGAGCGTTCCTGAGCCTGAATTGTAACTCTTACTTCCCTAAGAAACCCCATAATCATGAGTATTGTCTGTGAGTTCTGTGTGGCCATTGCAATGAATTATGGAAGCCAGCAGAGAAGTAGAGAGAGTGCCGTGTGAGGGATGGTTGGTGTCAGAATTGGTACAGACGGCAGAGAGAGCAGGCATGTCTGACCTCTGCCTCATGGGAATCAGCCTTGGCTGTTGGTCTTGATTCTTCTTCTTCCTTGTGAAGTTAGACAAGGTCAGACACGGGCCCCAAGCTGTTTTTACACTGCCCGGTAGGGTTTCCAAGGAGTGACTGGTGGATTTGAACTACCAACCTTTTGGTTAGCAGCCAAGCTCTTAACCACTGGGCCACCAGGGCTCCATAACCCCGCCCAAACTCCACCCAGTGAGGGCAGGAGGAGGACCCTCCGCTACAGCGTTTGGAGCAGGTCCACTTAGGCTTTGTGTGAGTGTGTGTGTGAGCGTGTGTGTGATAGTGAGTGTGTGTCTTATGGTGTGAGTGCATGTGAGTGTGACAGTGTGTGATCAGAAACCCCCCGTCTGTGTCCCCCCAAAAAAATACCTGTTGTAAATCCTAACCACTATAGGGGTTACCATTTACAACACATTTTTGGGAAACACAAATCAATCCATAACACTGGGTGATCATCATCCAGTGTTTTGTTCAGAAAATATGACCAGGGGTTCTGATGACACACACACACACACACACACACACACACACACACACTCACACACTCACACACACACACTCACACACACTCACACACAGTCACACACTCACACACACACACAGTCTCACACACACACTCACACACACACTCACACACTCACACACTCACACACACACTCACACACACACTCACACACACACACACACTCTCACATTCACACTCACATACATGCATGCACTCACACGCATGCACTCACACACGAATACACCCATTCACTATTTCACACACACACACTCTCACACCTTTACACACTCACACATACACTCACACAAAGCCCGATTGGACCTGCTCCAAACGCTGGCGCCCAGGGTCCTCTTTCCGCCCCGCTGGGTGAAGTTTGGGTGGTGCCCTTTTATTGCTCGCAGCTCTCCCCCCAGGGAACCCTGAGCTTCTCCTGCTGACTTGACGCCTCGGTGTCTTTGCATTCATAGTTTGCAGATTGTTTCATCATTAGCGAGTATTTATCGCCCGCTTCCCGTGTGCACGGCTCCCAACCTGACCCTGACAGGAGGCTTCCACACACCAGGGAGGGCACAGGACAGCCGAGGATGGGCGGCAGGGAGGCCCTTGTGGACTCCACGGGCCCTGGCCTCAGCCTCTGCTCTAGACACAGGACTTGCCTGGGCCCCAAGCCACCACCTCCTCTGCCAGCACCATTTCCCCAGAGGCTGGTAGAGCCACGAGATCCCCTACTGTGGGCTGTAGCACAGATCCTCCCCTGAGGACAGATGCCCCGAGTGAGCAACCAGGGCGGCTGTAACAAAAGACCACAAAGACATGGGGAATCAGGGGCGGAAAGGAGGAGTGTGCTGTCGCAGAATGGGGTGAGCGATTAGGGTCTCATAACAATGTATGTAAAAAAAAAATTTTGTTTGGGAGACTAACTTGAAATGTAAACTTCATTTAATTACAACAATTAAAAAAAAAAAAAAAAAAGACCACAAAGAGGGGGATTGAAACAAGGGAGATTGTTCTTTCACAGTCTGGAGCCTACAAGTCGGAATTCAGGGTGTGGGCGGGCCACGCTCCCCCCAAAGGCTCTGGGGAGGGTCCAGCCTTGTCTCTCCAGTTCCTGGTGTCTTCAGGTGTTCCTGGGCTTGTGGCTGCATTGCTCCAATCCCTGCCTCTGTGGTCACTTGGCCTCTTCCCCTTCTCTTCTAAGGACACTTGTCACTGGACTTAGGGCCAACCCCAGTCCAGGGCAGTCTCATCTCAAGAGCCTGAACTCGATCACATCTGCAAGACCCTTTGTCCAATAAGGTCACACTCGGGTTCCAGATGGCTGTATCTTTAGGGGGGCTGCCATTCACCCCACGACAGCCCTTATGTCCACGTTCTGTCAGAGGACAGGCGAATACCAGGATGAGTTCCACTTGGCCTAGCCCACCTCCTAAGTGGGTGTGTGGTGGGGGGCACAACAAGGCTCGGAGCTGAACTGATGTTGAAGGACAGGTGGAACAGAGGCGGCGGCCACTGACCAGCAGAGGGGACTCAGCCCAGGGTGCGTCCAGGAGCCGTGAGCACGGCAGGTTGCACTGGGGCGGGGGCCACTGGACTCTTGGATAGATGAGCTGACCGGGGGGCAGGGCAGGAGAGACAGACGCAGGGCGCAGGGGGACAAACTAAAAAGAATAAATACATAAAATTTAACTTTCCTAATCAGATGATGGGGGCCCTGGTGGCTCAGTGGTTCAGAGCTCAGCTGCTAACCAAAGGGTGGACAGTGTGACTCCACAAGCCGCTCCCTAGAGATCCTGTGGGGCAGTTCTGCTCTGTCTTAGGGGGCCGCTGTGAGCGGGAGTCCACCTGACGGCAGCGGGTTTGGTTTTGGATAATCATATAATGGATTCCCAAGTGGTGCAGACGTTAAGTGCTCGACTGCTAGCTGCGTGGTTGGTGGTTCAAATCCACCCAGAGGTGCCACAGAAGGCAGGCCTGGCCGTCTACTTCTGAAAGGTCACAGCCTTAAAACCCCTGTGGAGCGGTTCTACTCTGCACACACGGGGTCGCCCGGAGTCAGATCTACTCGATGGGAACCGACAACAACACTTATACGATGCAGAACATTTGCCGCATCCTCAAACGCCCCTGTGGTGAGCGAGCGTCGGGGATGCGTCCCTGCCCCGAGAAAAGGAGCGGGGAAATGCTGCCCCAATGCCCCACGGGGCTATAGGAGGGGGACGCGGTTTCCACGGCCAGGGGGAGGCCCGGAGTCGCCGGCCGCCCGCACACACGAGGGCCCGCCCAACCCTGGCTGTTGGGGACCCCAAGCACACAGGTGGTGGTGGGGTCTCCAGGGCTCGCTGGGGAGCTTCCCGCTCCTGTACCCCAGCACCTGGTATTGAGAGTTGCGGGCGGGCAACAGGTGTGCAGAGGAGGCTAAAGCCGTGGTGGCCGTCTCTACCCGCAAGACAGGTAGACAGGTACAGGTACAGACAGGTAGACTCAGGGCTGCCTTTCTCAGAGAAAGCAATCATCATCAGTATAGTGGTGATCCATCCAGAATGCGGGACTGCTCTGTTCCCCCAGGAAACAGTTCTCAGGTCCTATGCCTGCTCA